TTACATAGTCAACAATGAGGGTTCTCATTCTACAGACCTCGGAAAGATGGGTGATTAGAGTTGCTTGAGAGATCCTTTCATTAGTATTAGAGCTGAAGTGAAAAACAGATTCAAAATCTGTTTAGCTATGAATTGCACTATGCCTCCTATGCTGCTTGGAGACAGAATGTAATAAATAAAACACCAGTTTTTTTACACCCACATAGCCCCAGTATATTACTGATTACAGGATGTGATTTTCAGTTTGTTCATGCAGGAAACAGCTACCTCTGCGATCTATTCCTTGTTTATTCTAGCACCACATCTCAGTAACCATATATCTTTTCTATGTACGCTTTACAGTTTCCTGAAGATTACCACAGAAGCAGCACTAGTTTTCAGGTGCTACCGAAGGGAAGGTAATGTAATAATGTGAGAGTGCAAGGGTCAAATTTGCTGTAAGTCTGTGAAGAGAGGCATTCTATCCAGATACTGGTCATAGCTATAGAGTTGTTTTAAAACATGGTAAGGGTGCTTACTGGAGACCCAAGACTTGCAAGATGCCAGCAATCCAAATAACCATGTTGAAGATCAGAGTCTGATCTTATAGCTTGTTCTCCTTGCTTTTGCTAAATTATATAGTTCTTTGTTGAATTGTGCTTCGTTATTCTCACATACAAAAGCAATCAAATTTTATGTGAACATCTTCTCCTTATTGGTTGTGAAATTATTACTGCCAAAAATTCGGAAGGGAAAAAATGATGATTCTATGACAGAGAACCCTAAGAATAGGAATATTGTTTTCCATTCATGATTATTGTCCATAGCACTGACTGCAAATTTTCTCCTACATCCTTGGTCACAGGTATGGTAAGTTAAGATAGGAAGGGCTCCTTTTTGTGACAGACCAAAAGCATAACTTGGATAAGGTAGGACTTTACAAAAAGGATGTGTATGACAAAGACTTTCTCTGTCACTCTGGCTACTTCCTACTTTTAAGTATGGCTAATAGGGCTAGAGGTAGTCCTCGACTTATGACCACAATGGAACCCAAAATTTCTGTTGCTAAGAATAGAATAGAATTCTTTATTGGCCAAGTGTGATTGGACACACAAGGAATTTGTCTTGGTACAAATGCTCTCAGTGTACATAAAAGAAAAGATACATTCATCAAGAGTCAAGAATCATAAGGTACAACACTTAATGATAGTCATAGGGACAATTGTAAGGATACAAGTGACAAAATTACAGTCATACAGTCACATGTGGGAGGGGATGGTGATAAGGAGTGATGAGAAGAATAATAGTAATAGTAGTGCAGATTTTATAAATAGTTGGACAGTGTTGAGGGAATTATTTGTTTAGCAGAGTGATAGCATTCGGGGGGAAAAACTGTCTTTGTGTCTGAGACATTTAAGTGAATTTTGCCCCATTTTACAACCTTTCTTGCCATAGTTGTTAAGTGAATCACTGCAGGTGTTATACTAGTAATATGGTTAAGTGACAAAAGGTGACCCAAGACATTGCAGTTGTCATAAATATGAATCAGTTGCCAAGCATCTGAATTTTGATCATGTGACTGTGGGGAAGCTGCAATGGTCATAAGTGTGAAAAATGGCCATAATTTACTTTTATCAGTGCCACTGTAACTTTGAATGGTCACAAAATGAACTGTTGTAAGTCGAGAACTATCTGTACTTCTTCATTCAAGAAGCTATACAATTAATCTATCTTTTTGCACATTGGGAATTTTAATGTCCCATCCAATGCACCATACAGTATGGTCACAAGGACCTACTTTTGATATAAATTTTAATGTATTTTAATATATATCAAATTATATGTTAGTAGATTTCTGAAAAATTTAAATAATGTTGAAGGCATATTTTATAGGATAAGATGATATGGCAGGGACCAAGATTCCAGAAGTTAAATTTTTAGCATATGTTAGAGAAATGGCATTTTAACCTTTGCTATACCACTCTTCAAACTACTATGATCTTAAAATCTTGTAGATGCAAAAGTGCTCCATAACTAGGGAACTTGGATACATATCTACAGGTGATTCTTGTTTAGAGGCTTTAATTGGGACTAGCAACTCTGTTGCTAAGCATTTTAGTTGCTAAGTGAAACATTATATGGCTTTGATTTGCTTATGACCTCATTTCTCCTTTGGTTGTTATGTTAATTCCTGGAATCATTAGTAAAACACTATGTGACTATGACTTGCAATTTTACTTTCACCTTCTCTATTAATTCTGCATGTTGCAAGTCAATTGCAAAGCCCTTGAACATGATCATGTGACAGAGAGATGCTGCCACAGGATTGGCAAAAAACCCCTATTTTTATACTTTGTATACTCTTTTTTACACTATTGTTAAATGAAGCAGTTGATAAGTGAGAATGTAGAATGTATTGTTTTGACAGTGTCCTACAACTGGGTTTTCACATCTGGGTGATATTTAGTTACTGGACTATATGGGTTTTAGTTCAATTAGAACAATTCTTCTTATGTTCCATGAACTGTAATATGTAAGACAGAGTATCAGAGTATGACATGCTGGAGACCTTGAACAGACATTACAAATTAAACAGCATTAACAAACAAATAATATTTAGTTCATAATTCATACTGTATTGAAACCTTTCAAGCATCAAGTTTAGGTTTCTACAGGGTCCCTCTATGGGTGAGATGGACACTTTCTAAATTTGATAAATAAATAAAAGAAATATAAATATAAGACTGGAAATAAAAGTATATAGTATGTAAATTGTACATAACAAATAGGGAGTCAAATTATTCTCTAAAGCACTAGAGGGCAGGACAAGAAACAATGTTTGGAAACTAATCAAAGAGAGAAGGAATCTGGAATTAAGGAGAAATTTCCTAACAGTGAGGACAATTAACTAGTGGGACAGCTTGCCTTCAGAAATTGTGGGTGCTCCATCACTGAAGGTTTTTAAGAAGAGACTGGACAGTCACTTGTCTGAAATGGTATAGGTACTCCTGCTTGAGCAGGGGGGCTGGACTAGAAGACCTCCAAGGTCCCTTCCATCTCCTATCCTATCCTATCTTCAATGAAACGGAGTTTCTAAAGAATACCTTGGCCTGAAGTTCTAGGGCTCCTAATTAAAAATTAACTAAATAAATATCCACAGTTATACAGTAACATTATTTTGATAAGACAACATGAACAGTTACAAGAATTATGTTAAAAATATAACTGCAGTTATTAAATCTATATAGCACATTGCAAGTGCTTGGAACCTGAGCACTCTTGCCTGTTTTAACATCCCTAAAACAATCACAATCAGATAATAATGTGAACTTTCCATGAATGAATGTTTCACTTGCCAGCTAGGTAGTCTTTCTGGTTACTAGAGGGACTGCTTGCCTCCCATAACATCTGCCCAGGCATGTTCAAGAATCATCTGATTAAACAATGCCATGTCTCAGGATCCAGGAAGTATGCTTTCTCTGTGGCAGTGTTGCCTTCAGGAACAAGGTTCCCTAAGAACCAGATGGCTCCCAGTATGATTTTGTTTAGAATTACTATGAAAACCTTCCACCTTTTCTATTGATCTTATTATAATTTTATTGCTGCAAGCCACCCCAAATCACTGAAACCTGAGTAGCATAATGTATTACCGGTAGTTATTATTATTAGAATCATGAAAAGCAAATCATTAAAAAGCCTCCTTTCTAGCACGGGGCTGACTAGATGATCTCCAAGGTCGCCTCCAGCTCTATTCTGATTCTAAATCTTCTATGTTTCAGCATTCTTTCCTCTTCCAACTCTTTTCCATTGATTGGTAAGGGTCAAATAATTCTGACAAATACTGTTTCTTAGAGTATTTCTTCATATGCTATTCCTAACAATTAAACACTGACTGGGTTTTTAGTGAAGACCATGACATTAACAAAATGCCAAAGTGTTAGAGTGCAGGTGAAAAATGAAAGCCATTAAAATAATTTAGTTCAAAGGTTATACTACCTATTCAATTTGAAAATTTTGGTCCTCGTTATTGCTTTAGACCTTGAAGTTCATAAAATTTTTTAAATCAAAGTTCAAACATCAAAACACCCTCATTTAGAATGATGTGTATCTGGAGATACAGTTTAGGAAAAAATCAGTAGTTTTTGGCATGTTCAGTTAACTTCTTTTTCAGTTTGGACTAATTAATAGCAAGATGGTTTTGTTCTCCTGCAATGTAGTCTCCAGCTTCTCTTTTGCTAATACAGAATACGATTAAGAATTCTGCTGTGCCTCGCTTTTGCCAAAAACCTGTTTCCCAATTCCTATGAAAAAGTGTACTACAGAATCGGCATTGTGACTGATGGTGAAGACAGTCCCTTAATCTCAATAGTTTTTAATCACAGGATGTGAATGTTTGATAACTGTATTTTAACAATCTTTAGTTCTGTGTCAAACATTTAAAAAATTGCAAGCTTGAGCTTTCTGGGATTTGAGAGCGAGAAATGAAATATTATTTCACAGCACTGTTTAATAGGAAACATCTGGAATCAGATCAAGAATTTAAACCGTTTCCCATGTGTGTGTGTGTGTTTATGCATGCAAATCCACACACACCAGCGCCTAAAACACAGACACATCAAAATACAGATGTGAGAATCTTCATAAGGCTGTGAAAATTCTTCCTCTCGCTAAAAATAACCTTCGATGTTCCGTTTGCTTCCTCATTCGTTTGTTTCCTGAACAGGAAGGCAACTCGAAACTGGAAAATGGGACAGTCCCAAGCGGAGTTTACTCGCGATAAGACTCGATTATTTTATCTAGCCGTGCCACCCTTCCCCAGTTGGCATTCCGGTCAGCAATACATGGCGACAATTTTCTGCCCCCCTCCCCAAAAAAACACCCACCCACACGCCTCTCCTTCTCCCACCCCGCCCAGAGATCAATCTGTGAGCTGCGCGCCTAATTGGGCCGTTACGTTGTTATGGCAACCGGACGCCGGCGCGGCCTTGTAGACTGGAGTACAGCTCTGAAGGCGGATGATGATGGAGCCGGGGATAGGTGAGGGAGAAGGGACGGAAAAGAGGGAGCCGGGTGATTTGAGAAGGAGGGAAACGCGGGAGATCCCCTTGGGGGCAGAGAGACGGGGAGGAGAGCTGTCCCGGAGACCCAGGAAGAGGAGCCCCGAAGGCTTCTTTGCAAGCTGAGCGCGGGAACTTGTTCCTGGCAGCCCAGTGCAGCTGAGCCTGAGAAGAGGCACTTGTGCAGTGTGTAAATCCCCAGTGGCAACATTTCTCCAGAAAGAAATTTTTTTTAACACACTTTTCATGGAAAAGGAGAGGCGCCAGCTTTTTCTGGAAGAGTATAAAGAGACTAGTGTGAAGTAGACCTGTAGCACTTCTGTTGTTAAGTGAGCTTTGCCCCATTTCACGATCTTCCTTGCCACAGTTTTAAGTAAATCGAGACAGTTGATAAGTTAGTAAACTGGTTGTTAAATGAATCTGGTTTCTTCATTGACTTTGATTGCCAAAAGGGCGCAAAAGGTGAATTTACACGATGACCTTGGGAACAGCAATGGTCATAAATGTGAATTATTGCCAAGCATCTAAATTTTGATTGTGGCATTGTGGGGATGCTGCAAAGGTCGTAAATCTGTGAAAAACTGTCATAAGTCACCTTTTGCAGAGCTGTTGTAACTTTGAACCATCACTAAATGAACTGTTGTAACCTAGGACTACCTGTATTGTATTCCCTTGAGAGTAGGAGACCTTGGAATGGGTGCAAAATTTGTCCTTTTAAATTTAAAGTGAAAGGACAGGAGGAGGAAGGATTGATATAAATTGTCTTTTTTTCTTTCTTTTTCTGGTAAAGTTTTCTCTGCAATCCTCTGCCATGAGAAACAAGTTTCACCTGTTGAATTTGTGGTTGCTGAACAGCTGTTTAAAGCAGAGGGATTCTGCCAGTGAAAAGGTGGCAATCCTCTGAACCCTTTAGGATGCTTGGATTTTTGTGCCCTGACTTTAATATTCCAGATCCAGAAAAATAGAACAAGCAATGATTTGTCCCATGTGTATCTTGATTTATAGGGATGTTTTAGCTCTAAACGGATCTCCATTCTGAAATTTCTTAAGAAAAGGAATCCTGTTGCTTTAAACTGAAACACTGGGTCAAGTTGAAATAGCCTGATGTTATTTCAGAGATAGAAGAAGAATATGATAATGTTGGTTTAAGGAGAAGCATACAGAGTAAGAGTCCAGTAAAAAAGGAATATTTTCTTAGAATGGGAAAAGAATAGAAAATGCAGGAAAATTGGATGATGGAATTATAAGGAGCAGATATCCAGGTTATAGTGGGGAATAATAGATAGGTATTAGTGCTGAAATCTTATAGTTTAAGGAGTTGGTGAAACTTTTTAAGAGTTCTTGCAAAGATCATAAACATTTTCTTAACAGTTGAATGATATATGATATAAAGCTTTAACGCAACTTTACAATCTGCTGACAGGATGTTTGAATTCTGTAATTTTTTCTTGGAAAGATTATTAACAAAAAATAGCCATTAATTTGAGATAACTAGAATTTTAATTTTTTTTGATAATATGCCTTTGAAACTTAGAAATATAATTCTTTGCCAAAGATCTGCACTTGCCCTAGTAGTATTTGTAAATATTTTTCTGGTTTTCTTTGTTAAAGTTTGCAATTTTAGAAATGTTATCCATCAAATAACTAAATAATAAATAATTAAAATATGCTGCCCATCTTCTCAATAAGGCAACCCTGGGTGGCTTACAGGTCATAAATAGACAGAAAAGCAATTGAAAATTTAAAACTACGCAAATTAAAAATGTAAAACACTGCAAAAAATAATAATAGATAGATGGCACAGAGATGAGATCTTCTTATCGTGACAACCACCTCTGGCAATGAGAGCCCCACCTTGAGGCCCCAAGCCAATTGGCAAAACCAAGTTGGGCCCAAATGGGCAAGGTTCTTCTCCTTGACCCTACCCATATCATAATATGATCCTAATTAGTAATCAATATATTTTACATATACCTACTCAAACAAGTCATTTGGGCTCAGTGCTCCTCCCTGCCCTTTCCCTAAAGTCTCCAAAAGTATTGAACGAAGAAAGAAAGGATGACAAATTAGAAATGCATGTCTATCAAAAAGTAATCTCACTAACCTAGTGCTCTGTGACCAAAGTAACAACCTAACTTCCCACAAGAGGAGCTATATAAAAACATTCAGACAAGCACAAATGCACTGCAGCAACCTGGAACACTATAAAAAGGAAATAGACCATCTATACTAGAGGTCGTCAATCTGTGGCCCATGAGGTGTTTGCAACCGGGCTGCGGAAATTGCCAGTGCATGCTTGTGAAATTACTAGTTCCTGTAACCATTCTTCATATGTTTTAGTCTCCAGTCCCCTAATCATTCTGGTTGCTCTTCTCTGTACTTTTTTTAGAGTCTCAGCATCTTTTTTGTAATGTGAACAAAACTGGATGCAGCATTCTAGGTGTGGTCTTACTAAGGCTTTATAGAGTGGTACTAGTACCTCCCTTGATCTTGATTGTATCCCTCTGTTAATACAACTTAGGATTGCATTAGCTTTTTTGGCGGCTGCTGCACACTGCTGGCTCATATTTAGCTGGCTGTCCACTAAGACTCCAAGATCCCTCTCACAGTTACTGCTATTGAGCCTAGTTTCACCCAGTCTATATGTGTACTTTTGGTTTTTCTTGCCTAAGTGTAGGACTTTACTTTTCTCTACATTGAACTTCATTTTGTTAGATACGACCCAGTGTTCTAGTCTGTCAAGATCCAGCTGGATCTTGAGCCTATCTTCTTGGGTGTTAGCTATTCCTGCCAGCTTAGTATCATCTGCAAATTAGGTAAGTTCCACTTCTATTCCCTCATCTAAGTCATTAATGAAGATATTGAAGAGTACTGGGCCTAAGACGGAACCTTGTGGCACCCCACATTTGTCTGAAATGGTATAGGGTTTCCTGTCTGAGCAGGTGGTTGGACTAGAAGACTTCCAAGGTCCCTTCCAACTCCTATTCTGTTTGCAAAGGTGTATATGAATTATACAGTAGTTACTCTCTAGAAGAGAAATCTGCTTAGAACACCCATGGCATGCTTTTAAATAGGTCTACAAGCAGGAGAAAGTGGAAAGTTACCTATCTTAAAATAACCAAGAGAAATACAATGGATGGAGTGTATAATATGTTAATTCATGAGACTAGGTTATGGTGATTGTGTTCTGTGACTCAGACTGATATCATAATGGCAGTCCATATATGTATACTGTATGACTAGATTTCTCAATCCTGGGATGATTATTCCATGTAAGTAGTGCTCTACCAGCATTCATAGAGTTTAAAGGTTATCTTTCAATTGTTACCCCATTACAAGATGGAGGACCAGTGAAATATTAATATGTCTGTGATTCCTTTTTGTTACATTTCCTATGTCGCCTCTTTATTTTTTCTTCATGAGTTTTATTTTCCCTCAGGACAAGATAAAGTTGATCCTGAATTAAGTAATTCTTCTTAAAGTAGTTGCTTTCAATAATTAAAGCAGATTACTGAAAAGAAACCCAATTTAATTTTTCATTTTTCATAAGTTTTAAATGTTTCCAGAGAAGCTAAAGTAAACTACAAAATTGACTTTGCAGCAGGAGGTTATAAGATTAGCTGATGGGAACTTTGGCTGATTTAATATTTTTTCATTATTAAAAATATAAAACAGTTCACTAGAAAACATAGTGAATAGAATTAGATGAGCCTGTTCTTTTCTTTCTTTTAAAAGACATGTTCTTATGATAGGTCTATATAATTATTTATGTACATATAATAATTATGTAGCTGTCTTGCTTACTAAAATTACTATGAAATCTCATTTTTACAGGCTAATTGAGAGGAGAAGATTTTGTTATTCATGAATGGTCCATTAAATTGGAGGATGTCATCTTTGCAAGATGACATAAATAACTTAATTGTATCATTTGTATAATAACGGCATGCAAAGGTGTAAGTTACTGCAGGATTTGATATGTTGCATGTAAAAAATTATTTCTAGACAGATTGAGTTAATCAAATTTCACACTATGTGACTTTACTTTTCTAGATCTGCTTAGGACAAACCTTACGTATCTTAAAATAATGATTTAGGTTTCTGAGTACTGAAAATATCTTTAACTGTTTAAAACAAAAAAAAAATTGGCATAATTATACAATAATAATGTTTCTGTTTTAATATAACTGTGATGTCATAAATCTCCAAGTTGGTCAAAACTATAAAACGAATATACTATGCCGTATCTAAATTGAATCTAAACCCAGGCATCATTTTTATAGCCTCCGGTATTTTGTTTTGCACTTGTTTTTTTTAATAGCTGGACTATTCTTACAAGCATACATTGAAACAAAATATTTTTACTCACTATAAAATCATATAATAACTTCCCAGTTGATATTATGCTTGATCTTAGCCAAAAGGCTAAGAAGCTAATTTAAATAAGAGATAAAGAATCGACGTTTTGCAAGTTTCCACCAACTATGTTTTTGTGTTTTTCAGATTGATCAGACAAGCACAAATTCATCTTGACATTATTTCTTCATTTCTGCACCCACCATCTATAGCAGTAAATAGTTTAGAATTTTTATCTGCTTCTAATACAACTCTTAAAAACATGGAACCCCCCTCTACTGCGTGGGAGGGGGGACACATTGCATTGTGGGTGCGGTCATGCAAGCCCCAGCCAAACTTAACTGCACTGCCATGCAGGAAATACAGGAAGTGCCGAGACGGGCCTGTTTTCAGCCTCCAGAGGCTCCAGAGGCTTCCCTCGAGTCTCCAGGAGGGCGAAAATGGCCTCCCCCAGGCTCCAGAGGCCCTCCGGAGGCTGAAAATGGGCACTTCCGGTCTTTCCAGAAGGCTTATTTTTTGGCCTCCCGAGGCTACAGAGGCTTCCCTCAAATGGGCCGAAAATCAGCTGGGAGGCTCACACATGCACAGTGCATGCAAAGGGGCGGGGGTATCGTGCACGCATGCATGGGGGGCACATTGCATTGTGGGTGTTGGCGTGCACACACACATTGTGTGTGCTATTGCGCGCACACACACTTTCAGCACACCATAACAAAAAGGTTCGCCATTACTGGCCTGATCTATGGTTTAGGCAGCAAAGCAATGTTTATATGACTACGGTATTTATTAGTTCTAGGAGTGTTTTTTTTTTCTTATCTTAGTCTTAGGAATCATATTTTATCTTTTCTTTAGAACTCACAGAAGCCTTGCTAACCTTATATTTATCAATTAATTTTACATTCTTTGTCAGTGTATAGGAAACTTAACCATTACTAGTTTGTTATATTGCTGGGTTTGTACTTTGTTTCTTAGAAAATATGGGAAATAGAAAATATATTATTTTAATCTGATGTACTAATTTATTATATTACAAATAATAAATTAGAGGGAGTTGTGTATGAAGCCAGGATAAGAAGGTTAGGTGAACATTCAGTATGCCTCTCTTTTTCTTCCCCTACAATAAACCTAATAGTATATTTAGATTTTCAGCTGGACAATAATAATAGCATGGAATTCTGTCCCTGTTGGCACTCAAATAAAAAGCTAAAACTCTTTTTAAAAGGTTTAAAAGCATAAGGCATTTTTGAACAAACAGCAATCTGTTCTGCTGCTATTTTATATTTCTGTTCTGATTTACTGCCATTTATTTTAATTTATAGTTTGCTTTTTTCAGTTCTTGGAACTTGTTTGTATATATTATCATACTAAATTAATTTTGATGTGGTTCATTTGTAGGAAGACATTCTATAGTAAAGCCACCCCCTCCAGTTGTAGGCCATGTGAGCCATCATAATATTGAACTGAGTTGGAACTTAGAAGAACAACGAAAAGGTCCTCAAGAGCAATGGCTAAAATTTTCAGTTGAAGGAGAAGATCCCAAGTTGCATAAATATGGTCTGATTTACACGTAAGTTCAATTCTACCGTTTTGTTTCTACAAGTAAAAAAAAAAAAAGACTGAGCATACAAGACTAATTCAACTAACATAACTCCCAGGTCAGTTTCTGAAATCAATTCTTAGATGTAGTTTTAATGTTACTAGAATACAGTGTTCAGTTCTTTGGATTGCAGAACTCTATCACTATTTTTATGTAGCTCAGTGGAATATTTGAAATGAAATGTAATAACAGATGGATCAAATACTACCAAGGGGTTTATTGCATGGGAATGTGCAATCTTCCCTTTTACTTACTTTCTTATTTTGATATAACCAAGTTCTTACAGCATTGTACTGTTTGTCTATCTGTTCATAGACACCCAATATTTTCACTTACATAAAAACTGTAGATAGCTTAAAACAACTTAATACAAAATATTAAAAAATGACAGTACTATCAATATAATTAAAATCAATTAACAGTTAAGACCAAATTTGTGTTTTTACAATTTTCCTAAAAACTGGGAATCAAATACATCTACCTGAAGTGAAACATTCATAGTCTTCAAAAGACCACAGAGGACAAGGATTTTGCAAAATACTAGTTATTGTTATAATGGTTCTTCAGAAGAGGTTCTGATAGAAGAGAATATTTGTATCTCAGAGTTGAACTGTGAGACCCTTGATGCTCTCTGAGCTTGATGGTTTTCTTTCAGACATTTCATTATTGGTGCACTGATGTGGTTACCCAGTTGGATAAAGAAACATCTGCAAGAAAAACACCAAGCTCGGGGAGCACCAAGCATCCTCCAATTGGGTTCATAGACCGAGATGTGGTATCATAGATTTTTATGCCATGAGCTATTAGCCAATACCTTAAATTGTGCCAAGTATGCAATTGGCAGGCAATGCAGAACTTTTTATACAGACACCATGTATTCTACCTTGCACCATTTGGTAACACGAATGCTGCATTTTGTAATGATTACAATTTCCAGAAACAATTAAAGTTTAGCATAGAGCATGTTGCAATTGTCAAGAGAAAATTTAACCAAAGTAGAGATCACTGTCACAAATCTTACTTATTCTGAAATGTTCCTGCAACCTGCAACTCCAGTGACAATAGGAGTTGTTTTTTTCTGGAAGAGTGCAACAATATCCCAAGTAGTCTTATGAACAGTATCTTTCTCTTTAATAAATTTAATTTCAGACTCTTTTTATTCATCCAGGTTAAACAATATAAAAACCAATAACTTTCTTGGAGATACAGTAGACTTGCAGAAAGTGAAAGATGGCACTCATTTCAAAGCTCTAAATGACCTCCACCATCAGTTTCATACAAATACAGAATAGTATAGGAAAATATAAAATTCTAGCAAAACTGATGACAGTGACCATCACCATCAAATGACCATTCTAAATCATGCTTGATAATATCAAAAATTGATCAAAAGACATAGCCAAATCTATGACCCAGCATAGATAATGTAGGTACCATGTCTCCCTGAAAATAAGACCCAACTGGAAAATAAGCCCTAGCATGATTTTTCAGGATGCTTGTAATATAAGCCCTACCCCCAAAATATGCCCCATTTAAGATCATTAGCCAGATGTGTTTAGTACCATATTTCCCTAAAAATAAACGCTAACTGGAAAATAAGCCCTAATGCATCTTTTGGAGCAAAAATTAATACAGGACCCAGTCTTATTTTCGGCGAACATGGGTAGGTGACCAAAGTAGTCTCATCACTAAAACTCAAATTAGAAGTCTTACTGAAATAATTCCAGATTATCAGTTTTATCCAAATGTATCTAGAAGTGCCAGAGATGACTTTCTCAATATATCCAAGAATTGAATGTAAGAGATTGGCTTATAATTATAGTGATTTTGTAGGATAAGGGAGGGATTTTTCAATGAAGTACTTGAAACTCTCTGTTTAACTGTTACGCAGGCACAAACATATTCTGCACTCAGGAAGGCACTCATCATATATCTTAACTATAGAGTGAATTCCAACTTGATCAATTTAATCAGCCAGAAAGGAAAATGTCAAGCAGTTGAGTAACTCATATGTCTATATAGGACTTGTTTGCATCTTCAGTATGTACACTTGTTAGGCTCAGTGGCAAAACCTAAGCAGAATCTTGCGAAAACTTGGCATAGCTTAATAAGGCTCTAAGCTTTCAGTTTAAGATTGTTTAACAATATAACAATGCTAAATAAGAATCTTTGTTGCATTCTAGGAAATCACTGAAATAGTTGATTGCCATCTGTTATGATGAAAGTGCATTTCCTTTTTCATCCTTATTGCAATTTAATGCCAATGTTTCTTTCTCATACACTTCCCACAATTTAGAACAGATGTTTTCAAATATTTTCATGCAGCAGAACCTGTTTATTAAAAACAAATCCCTGAAGCTTTGATCAAGAGAAAGGTTTTGGTAATAAAAAATTAGCCGCTTGTAAATGAATTTTTATTTATTTAAGTTCACCTGTCATGGTACTCCATGAAGTTCTCAGAGAACCCTAAGGTTCTGTGGAACACAATTTAAATCCTAATGGACAGAATGGAGAGAGGTTGCCTTTTGCTTTTCTGCCTTGTAGTTGAGCAAGTATTAGCTGTTGCTATAACTATAATAGTTTTTTGAGAAATTTTGACTCTCAACTTATACAGTAAGCAGAAAATAATTCATATGTTTCAGATGTATGTATGTATGTATGTATGTATGTATGTATGTATGTAAAGGTTCCCCTCGCACATACGTGCTAGTCATTTCCGGCTCTAGGGGGCAGTGCTCATCTCCGTCACAAAGCCAAAGAGCCAGCGCTGTCCAAAGATGTCTCCGGCATGACTAAATGCCGAAGGCGCACAGAACAACTTCCCACCAAAGTGGTCCCTATTTTTCTACTTGCATTTTTACATGCTTTCGAACTGCTAGGTTGGCAGAAGCTGGGACAAATAACAGAAGCTCACTCCGTTACGCGGTGCTAGGGATTCGAATTGCCGATTTTTCTGATCAACAGGCTCAGCCACCGTGTCATATATATACACAAAGAAAGGTGAAAATTGTTCTTACTGTTCCAACCTCCTGTTTACACTAATCGGAGAACATGTTTCAGAATATGGTAAATTACTGTCATTGCATTTGGTGCAATACAATGGAGGCAGAGAAATAAATCCTTTTTGCTGCATTTGCTACCCTTAAGTATGAATTCAGATGACTCTTACAATATGTAGATTCCAAATTAGTGGCCAAATTGATCCATCTTTGAGATCCTCCACTTAGACTATCACTCTCTACCTTCATTAGTTCCCTAGAAAATCAAGTTGCTGATGTAGCCCTGCTTAAAGGAAAGATATATAGAAGTTATTGTATCAACCACCTGGACCATCTCTCTGTTCCACAGATCAGCCAGAGTTTGAACAGTATCACTGACTGATCAGATGAAAAATTCCCCAAGCCCATTCAGAAAATTATTCAAATCCTTCAGGTATATGGTCAGATTATTTCAATCAATCAATATTTATTTGGTCAATGACCAGCAAAATTTAAAAGAACAAAACAAACAGATATTTCAGAGTAGATGTTGAAGATTTCCAGAATAATAAATCTTGAATAGTTCACTACCATCCCAAAGATTATTTGGGCTGGGAAGAGATTGTTATGCAGCAGGTAAACAGTACATAAACAATATCAGGATACTATAGCAAGTCATGGAATCATGGTTGCAAACACTAAGATTTCTAGATAGTCAATGAGATAAGTAGAATCTTAATTCCAGAGCTAGCCTGTTGCATTATGGGTTAACTTAGAAGAGAATACACATTCCCCTTTGAAGTTGCTCTTCTCATGACTTCACATAAAAGCATCATTCATTTTAAACATATGGATAGATAATGATATCTTTTCAAAATTGCTTCAGCAGACCTTCACTAGTTCTGTTCCTTTTGTTTCTCTGTAGTTTGATTAAATTTGAGGAACAAATATTTCACAGTTAAATTGATATAATGAATATAGAGGCAATTTTCATGTTTCTTTATATCAACTATTTTCTACAATTGGAAATTTATCATACAGGAGAAAAGAGAGGGTATGCAGTTATTTTGCCTATCAGTGGTGCCCTAACTGCTGTTACTTGCTTTGTTTTAAATTACAATAGGTTGGGTTTTTTTGGAAGATTCTTTGGAATTTTTCACTAGGTGGCAGAATTAGACTGTTTCAGTATTCCCTTTTACATCATTTATCAAACTAGCCATCTTACACCATCAACAGTATTTTAAATTTTAAATTATTCTGAAAGGTCTAGGAAACAGTTTTATAAAGATTTTTATTAAATGAAGCAGTAGTACATGGCAGTTTTGGTGGTATTCTGGTGTCTTGGTCTAATCCTAGTGCACACCATTAGAATAATCAGCCTTGTCTTTTCATCCTTGAAAATATGTTGTAAATGTATATCTGATGACACTTCTGCAGATATTCTGACTCTTGTTTTCAAAGATGTTCAGTTCTTGCATCTCTGATGTTGTTTTTTTACATCTGCATATTTTAAATATTTATGCAAGAATGGGTTTATTCTGCATCTGTTTTGCAGTCATCACATGATAACATTGGATGGACACACACACATATGAATATGCAGATAGTTCGTTGATGCATAATAAAGAAAAATAGTATGTATTTTAAAAAATGGATTCACTTTTATCCACAAAATGAATTTTTCTTTCAGTAGCATTGACATTTACAGGTATTAAGTATTAGACATGCTAATATATTGTTCAAATTTGTAGAGAATTACCTTTAAATACGAATTATTGTCTAAAATTGTAGAAAGTAATTAAAAAAACTAAATTACTTCCTTTTTAGGGGATATGCCCGACAGCATGTTGTGGAAGGTCTTGAACCTAGAACAACGTATAGATTTCGACTTAAAGTCACAGATCCTAAAGGAGAATCTGTTTATAGTTCACCTATTTGTGTAACTACAACAAGTAAGGTCACAATATGTTAATAAAATATAAAGCAAACAATTTAGAAATATATGCAAAATGAAAACAGCTTTGGAAGGAAAGCAGAAACTCATTCATTAAAATAAAGATATAGTACTGCTCTCATTTAAGCAGTTTCCTCTTAGGGCTATATTTTAGACTTATTTTGTATTTGCCATTCCTTATTATTAATTGATCTTTGTCTTTATTTATTTCATATTATTCAAACATTTAGCCCTCCGCAGTCAAAAATGTTAATTGGTCCTCTCTGTTCAGCAGTTCCAAGAAGATTCCACAACCATTTGCATTCCAATTCAGGTTGATCCTGAGGGCACAGATAAACCCCCAAGGGGCTTCAACACTCTCAAGATCCCATCTTCAAAATGCTAACAAAAATCCTTCCATTCCCCAGCTAATCTGCCTAACATTGGACTGATGGAGCCCAAACTTTTTGGAAATAGTTTGTAACCTTTCCACAACTGTCTTCAGAAATTCCATTTGTTTGAGCTATGACACACTTCTACAACCTGTGTGGTAAAATTCAGACTTCAATAGTGAATACCCAGAATTCTTTAAATGAGAAGCTCCCATATTCACATCAGATTATCTTCCCATTGATTGAAACACCTGACTCTCATTTATCTTTCAAATGTACTAATAGTTCTAGAGGTTTGCATATTTTTCTACACACAAATATGTAGCATTAGATCATTTTCTTCAGTAAATAAATGAACAAATATAGTGTTTTGACTCTTTTGTAACCTCTTGTTTCGAGTGCTCCATACTGTCCTGATTGGGTGCCTTCTGGTTTCAGGCCCTGTTCCTACTCAGTCTCTTCATACTAGGTCAGGCAGCTTAATGTGAATAAGCTATTTTTCCAGCCATATTAGCTTGTCCAGATAACCATACAATTTTTGTCAGTTTCATAGTGCACTCTTTGCTATCTGTCTCATAGGGAACCCCATGTTAACAAATTGGAGCCATATTTCTATCTGTAAAGCCTACCTACCTGGATTGATGAGACCCCATAGCCTGATTAGAATAAAGGTGCATTGCAGCATAATAAAAGACAATTTAAATATTTTTTAAATTTTAACTGTCCAGTGCTTTTGTGAACATACAACAACTCTATTATTAATTTCTCCACATTGCAGATAGTTAAGATGGCAGAAAAAAATAACTGATTACTTAAATACTTGACTAACTTTGCTTTTCAATAGTGTTGAACCTGATGGAAGTTCATTAGCAAATAGAGATGTTGAGGGCTTGAATTGGAAATCAAAAACATTCCAAAAGATAGCATTAGCAAACCACTTCTGTTGTATTGTCAGGAAAACTGAAGAGTTCTATTTATGTAAATATCCAGAGTCTGTCTATATTTGAGAGAGCCTTTACTGTTTATTACCTAAAGCTCTTACGCATCTCATGAGATGAAATTTGGGCTAGGGATTTTTCTAGCTCATAATTTCAGAATAATGGTCTTACATTTTCTAGTAGAAGACTTTGAGGTGATCTTTTAAACCATTCCTTTGTCAATAAAACAGGGACTTTTAAAGATATCCAAATGCTGTATTGAAACACATGAATGTTAATAAATTATATTCGAGATTTTAATCATTGACAAACACAAACACACACACACATATATAAACTTCCTTTCTTTTCTTTAGGTGAACCAATGAGTGGAGAACAGCTCCACCGTGCTGTAAGCAGAAATGATTTAGAGGATGTTATTCATATTCTTCAAGGAAGGTAAGAAAGGATACACACACACACACACACAGTGTGTGTGTGTAGATGTGATAGCTAATTAAAGAAAATAATGAAAATTGAATAAGCTTCTAAATATTGTACCACATTTATTTTAAACCTAATAACAAATTTCTAACATGAGTTATCATTGTGTCATACCAATTGAATATATATGATTTGTATAATGGAACATTCTCATATCATTGGCTTGGATCCAGCGATGTTACAGGTAATCAAAGACAATGCATCATCAGTAATGTGTGCTGCTAAGAAAGAGATTCGTCTTATAGAGCAACAATATAAAAAGATACAATGGTGTCAGGCTCATCTACAAATGCAAGATTCAGGACTCCCAATTTCAGCATGGTGCAGCTAATGATTAGACTACTACAGGTGAAACACGAAAAATTAGAATATTGTGCAAAAGTTCATTTATTTCAGTAATGCAACTTAAAAGGTGAACCGAATATATGAGATAGTCTCATTACATGCAAGGCAAGATAGTTCAAGCCGTGATGTGTCATAATTGAGATGATTATGGCTTACAGCTCATGAAAACCCCAAATCCACAATCTCAGAAAACTAGAATATTACATGCAATCAATAAAACAAGGATTGTACATAGAACAATATCAGACCTCTGAAAAGTATAAGCATGCATATGTACTCAGTACTTGGTTTGGGCCCCTTTTGCAGCAATTGCTGCCTGAATGCAGTGTGGCATGGAAGCTATCAGCCTGTGGCACTGCTGAGGTGTTATGGAAGACCAGGATGCTTCAATAGCGGCCTTCAGCTCTTCTGCATTGTTCGGTCTCATGTCTCTCATCTTTCTCTTGGCAATGCCCCATAGATTCTCTATGGGGTTCAGGTCAGGCGAGTTTGCTGGCCAATCAAGCACAGTAATCCCATGGTCATGGAACCAGGTTTTGGTGCTTTTGGCAGTGTGGGTAGGTGCCAAGTGCTGCTGGAAAATGAAGTCAGCATCCCTATAAAGCTCGTCTGCAGAAGGAAGCATGAAGTGCTCGAAAATCTCCAGGTAGATGGCTGCGTTGACCCTGGACTTAATGAAGCACTGTGGACCTACACCAGCAGATGACATGACTCCCCAAATCAACACAGACTGTGGAAACTTCACACTGGACTTCAAGCATCTTGCAGTGTGTGCCTTTCCATTCTTCTTCCAGACTCTGGGTCCTTGGTTTCCAAATGAGATGCAAAAGTTGCTCTCATCAGAAAAGAGGACTTTAGACCAGTGATCCCCAATCTTTTTTACGCTGCGGCCCGGTATCCCCAACCTTTTTTATGGCGCGGCCCGGTACTGACATCAGCTGGGCGCCGCCATCTTGTTTTGATGAAAAAGTGCTTCCGGTGAGCTTTCTACCCGGAAAAGCTCACCGGAAGCACTTTTTCATCAAAACAAGATGGCGGCGCCCAGCAAGCCAGCGGCCCGGTAGGACTTGTTCCACGGACCGGTCCCGGTCCGCGGACCGGTGGTTGGGGACCCCTGCTTTAGACAACTGAGCAACAGACCAGGTCTGTTTTTCTTTACCCCAGGTAAGACGCCTCTGAAGTTGTTTGTTGTTCAGGAGCAGCTTGACAAGTGGAATACGACATTTGAAGCCCATGTCCAGGATCCGTCTGTGTGTGGTGGCTCTTGATGCACAGACTCCAGCCTCAGTCCACTCCTTGTGAAAGTCCCCAACACTTTTGAATGGCCTTTTCCTGACAATCCTCTCCAGGCTGCAGTCATCCCTGCTGCTTGTGCAACTTTTTCTTCCACACTTTTCCCTTCCACATAACTTTCTATTAATGTGCTTTGATGCAGCACTTTGGGAACATCCAACTTCTTGAGGCTTTCCCTCTTTATGGAGGGTGTCAATGATGGTTTTCTGCACAACTGTCAGGTCAGCAGTCTTTCCCATGATTGTGATTCCTACTGAACCAGACTGAGAGACCATTTAAAGCCTCAGGGAACCCTTTGCAGGTGTTATGGCTTAATTAGCTGATTAGAGAGGGACACTTTGAGCCTAGGATATTGCACCTTTTCACAATATTCTAATTTTCTGAGATTGTGGATTTGGGGTTTTCGTGAGCTGTAAGCCATAATCATCTCAATTATGACACATCACGGCTTGAACTATCTTGCTTTGCATGTAATGAGTCTTATCTCATATATTAGATTCACCTTTTTAAGTTGCATTACTGAAATAAATGAACTTTTGCACGATATTCTAACTTTTCGAGTTTTACCTGTATAAGAGATTAGTAGCCTATATTGCTTCTCAGCCAGTACAGAGATGCCAATAGAGCATACAACCTGTATGTATTAAGAGATGGAGCTGGATTTCCTCTGAACATTTTAAATGTGTGTAATGATAGAGTTGGAACTTATATAGTGCCTAGGAAAGGAATGTCAAATGGAACAGAAATAGGACAATCTTGATCCAGAGCACTTATTGCATTGGTACTATAATCAGGGACGGAATTCAAACTGGTAGTTTCAGAGATCATTTGGCCCCACCCACCTGCCCCTGCCCTAGTCTGTCCTTTATTTCCGTGTTTTGCAGCTCAGCTGATTCGCGTGGCACAGCAGATTGCTGCGCCTCAGCTGTTTTACTCACCGGGGCTGCAATGTAAGTATTAGAGCTGAAAATGGGCAGTTTTCAAACGCTGCAAGCACATGCAAAGCGTGCGCTCACCGAACCAGTTGTTCTATCCCACCCCTGGCTATAAGCCTCTTAAATCATTGATCAGTTTTCTGAAAGAGCATAGAGATGAGAAGAAAATTGGAGTGTAGCAGCACTCTCGGGAGAATATCAGAAAGATCTTATATATCTTCTAGTGTGAGAGAAAAAGTTATCATAGGCACTGCAATTTAATAGGGGAAGTAGAGAGGGGGATTCAAAGATCTTGAATAGCCAATTCTGTACCACTGTTCATCATGGTGGATGTTTGTGTTTTAAAGAAAAATTCAAAGATAATTGTAGCATTAGGCTGAGAGAAGCAGCCTGCATATGTGTTAATACACACAATGCTGTCTGTCATTCACTCTCATAGCATGAAGGAAGATAGTATGTTGCTAAGATCTATCTGTGCTTTGTTTTTGTTGTCTGCTAGTAGTGGCCATTATTTGGAAAGAAATTTAGTGTGGGGTCCCATTCATAATTTGAAAATATTTCGGCATTTAGTGGTTGCACTTCTGAAAAACAGATATTTGTATTTGAATCAACTGAGGAGGAGCAAAATTATTATCATTACTTGCTTCCTCTCTTGGAACCTGTTGAGAAATAGTTACCAAATAATGATTTAGCACAATAGATGATAGACCCCATTGGCCACCAGTTTTAGAAAACAAGACTACATCTATCATAAAGGTCTGAAAAGCAGCAAAGCCTCTCATAAGAACTTTTCACTCTCCAGTCTATTTAAAAGATACCCAGATTGGTGGGCTCCTCAGGAGGTTTACTTACTTGTATAAATAATAACCACCATATCCTAAATTGATGGAAGATGGCAATTGTAATTCCCACTGAATATACCGAAAAGGGAATGAAGGGGATCCTAACAATTATAGATCCTTCAGTCTAATAGCTTTTGTGGCTAAAATATATGCCAGATTGTTCTTGAATAAGGAGACTTGTCATATATTTTATTCTGTTATATGTACATTCTTCTCCTCCTCCTCCTCCTCCTCCTCCTCCTCCTCCTCCTCCTCCTCCTCCTCCTCCTCCTCCTCCTCCTTCTTTTTCTTCATCTTATCATCATCATCATCATCATCATCATCATCATCATCATCATCATCATCAT